TTGGAGTGATTAAGGACACTATGCGGCTGTATGGTTTGATTGAGTGCGCCCAAACGAGTCAGTTCTTGGCTTATGGGAATCATCTTCTGACTAATCTACTCACAGAATGATCTAAGCTTTATTAGGTTTAGGTCAGAGATGTGTTGAAAGAACTAAAGGAACGACATTCCGCGAGAATGCGTTAGTCTCATCTACTTACACTGGCTTGATAGGACCTGGTGCGGCAGACCGGATTGGGAAAACGGACTCAATACCTAAACCTGAAATATTGACTCTTTGCCTCATGAATTCCTCATTCCGACGGTCAGGAATACAAAGGGAGTGGGAACGACATTACATTGAGCATTGAGAACTGGAGACTCGGAAACCAAACAGTAATGTCTTTAATGCAGTTTCGTTCACTAATCAGAAAGGCAGTATTCAAAGGTAATAGTTAAGATTTGTTATACAAAATACCCAAAACCAAAGGTTAATCGGAATTCAGCGCATGTGGGTCGGAGCATATTAATGCAGAAATCGATCCGCAAAGCGTCAGTATGTTTACAGTCATTGTGCCTTGGAATAAGGTTGATTGCGCCGAACCGTTGACAGCGCTTACCTGTGTCATCACAAAAAACATCGTCTTTTTGTCTGATTACTAAGGCCATCAATGTGTTTAGTGTACACACATGCATTTGCTATGTGCACGAAAAATCTTCTGGAAAGACCAAGACTACTTTAATATCTAGGTTCGAAGGGTAATCTGCGAACCGAATAAAAGTGGCAATTGTAGACGACGCATCTGTGCTGGGACTTGTTTTCACCTTAACAGTAGAATGCTTTCATCTGTAACGCGATCATGGGTGGCTGGAGCTGAGTCGCACACTCGACCTACAGTACGACTGTATGCGGTAGGGAATCAGAATGGGGGACTTGTGAGCGGTAGAGGATACCGCTTCCATACCGGTGTACACTTCGTCAGCAGACTGATGGCTGCAACAGCGCAGCGAAGCTAAATCTGAACATGTCCTGCAGAGTGTATATACTGAACAATGTGGGCTGCAAAGCTAAACACTAAGCACGGTCCTGGTAAGAAAAATAGAGACGAGGAAACCGTACCGTTTTCTTGTAAGCTTACAGTTAGCAAGTGGGGAAACAGCATGGCGTAATAGTAAAGCTATCGGAGGAATAACGAAGGTCAGATGGTTTGCGCATGAAACTTATGTAGTGCGCACAATTTAGCTAAGATAGTAACGGTTAATTCTGTGGAGTACGTCTGTTTACAGCGTACAACATAAGTTGTTACCTGAGAACGATGCAAGCAAATGGGAATTGAGTGTAACATTTTTATGGGAAGATCATTTTGTCCAGGAACCTTACAAAACCAAAGCCTAGCGAATATTAATGGCATGAGCACGGCCGGTAAATGTGTGCAATTAATGAATAATTGACTAGGGCGGAGCGGTGCAAGGTGATTGTTCATTGACGTAGCGTTAAGGGACGAAAACATGCAAATTGTCTATAATTAGATGACTGGGATTAAGTTCATTTTGGGATAAAACCCCACCAGCACGACGACAGTTTGGTGTGTACTACTGGCCAAAGGTTAGAATCTGTCATTCATGAACCGCCAAGCTGCCTACGTAAGAGTTGGAAAGTCACTGGTGGCTGAAGAGCGATCTAACTTAACGGCGCTGCATATAGAGGTGATGCAGTCTTTACCGAATACTAAACCAATCATAGACTTCAATGACGAATGTATGGCTAATTTATCTTACGTTTTGGTAGGTTATCAGCACATTTAAAATAATCAAATTAAAGTTGAATAAGGGTACCGTCTTCATAAATAATCACTTTTAACTTTTGGTATAAATCACATTAGTTCTGACCTATAATTAATTCGCAAAATAATGGCTACTAAATCGAAAAGGCGTAGAGCATGGTTGGCATGGGAATTATACTGCAATCGTTTGCCTGAAGATGCTCGTGCGTCAGGAGCAAAACTTGATTATAATACAACACTACACAAAGCATATATGTATTCAAAACCACAGTAAATTACTATTTACAGTTATGTTGTGGATTACTGCAATGGACTCCCCGATAGTTGTAAGCGACATGTAATCCGGTAGGTTGAGAACAACAGCGTTTTAGCACTCACTTGTTTTAGTGACATCAGATTCAACATAGTTCAAGAGATTTATTCCGCCATGCATATATCTGTGCTTTGAGTTTAACGGCACAACAATTAGACAGAATACATATATCAAACTCTCAGTGACATTTTCAGCTGCAAGATTCGTACTTTGCTCGTTTAACTGCTCTTCTAACAACGCAATGCCGTTTATCACTGAGGACCCAGGGTCAATAATATTTTCTGAACAGTTACACGCGGAACTTATATCGACCTGAACAACTGAGGCGTTTGGAGATCTAGATTAGCACTAGTCGCTTTACGTTTTGGCAAATGATGCTAACTGACAGATAAGCCAGCAGATACAGATGGTTTCGTCATCGTTCCAATGATGGCCTACACAAGCAAAACAGAAAGCTCTGTCGTATTATAGTCTGGTGTACTGCTCCAGCACTCTCAGAAAATGCCGCCTCTGGATAGTATTACTACTGGGCTCCTTCAACGATCGACATGAATAGTTGGATTGCGTAGTTTCAGGTATACCGGTAGTAGATTGCCTCGTAATCGGTGATAGCGTCCAATGAATACTGCTGTGTATTTCAGCATCCTATCTTATGTGTGCTTGCTTATTTCACTGGCTTAATTGGTAGCCGAACACTGAGGTTCCTGTAGTGTGGCAACGTCCCGCCTTAGCATATATCTAACATGATGACCAGCATACACACTGAGCACTTGAGGGAAAATCGCGAAGCCTTATTGTCGGAACCTCCTTCTCATGAATCTGACGGGACGGCTGCCAGTTCCCGATGCCTTTTCTGGTTGCTTAGCATGATACTAGGCCACTAATAGATATGACAGCAGCAACAGCTGAATTCAGCTTACGTGGACACCAAGACGTATCACAGTAATGAGCGCGATAGCCAGAAACCAGGAGGAGTGAAACGTTGGCAGTGAAAGACATTCATGGTTCGCGGCATCCGGTTTCAGATTTGCCTGTCACTGTGGCCAGCCAAAGGACGCCTGTGCATATTCAGGGACCATGGATGGCTTGCGCTGCACCACCCACAGCTCCATGCACACACCCCATATACAGTGTAAGCTCGAAGGAATAAGACCGGGAGGCATGTGGATGGGAGCCACTATACATCAACGGAGCCGGCCCACACTCCTTCACAGGCAAACACAAGCAGGCTGTATTTTGGGAATCAAGCGCGCACAAGGCGATGGTCGGACCATGGTCCGCTCCATATTGAATGCATGGAACCACCCTTTGGGCCTAGCACTGCCACAAGGACCGTGCACCCTTTCCCTTCCAACAACGACTAACTGTCTCCTGAAGGCAGTATAGACGAGGCAGTGGGTAATAGACAGGTAGGCACCTTGTCATCATGCACATCAAGCGCAGCCACACCTGGGATATCAAACTAAAGCCAATCACTTGAAATGAGATTACCAACTAAAATATATCTGTTAAAGCATATGGAGTAAGTAAGTTGGTTAGCAACGAATCCGCGATAATTCCAAAATGTTCAAAAGTTATTCCGAAAATACCACAAACGCGATAAAGTTAACAAAGTTAAGCACAGTAAGCGTAAGCAACGAGTGCAAGTTAATAGAAGCTTTCTCAGATAGGCAGAACAAACCAAATAAACTGGAATGAAATGCATCCTGCATAAAAAAGACCAAGTTTAAATGTACGTTGGTTTAGCCCAACTGCGGTGAATAAACATCATGAATGCAACATCAGCCTCAACATGGGGCATTCAACACATTGTCTAAACGACACAGCCTTACGGTCCCAAAGCCTTACGCGCTGAGCTCCTCGTACGCCGGCAAAAGCACAACGTATGCGGACGAACAGTCAGGGAGCGACACAGCCAACTTGTAGCCAAATCTGACGCTGGCGTTCTTACTATTTTTAATGAAGTTTAATGAAATTTAAAGAGAGCAAATACGACAGTTAAATTAACTCCAGCACTTTTGTTGGTCACAGGCTTAGAAATAAAGTCAACTTTCTTCGCATACCAGAACAACAGGCGCATAGAGTTGGATACGCCAGCATGTATTCCTATGAAGTCCTCGACTCGCATTTGATCTTTGAATGGATTTGAGGCAATCTGGGTCACTCTGTGGTAGCTCGCAGAGGGTTCCTACTGCCAAGTTGACCCAAATGACTTAGTAAAGTGGTGAGTAATAGAACACTGGTTCGCTAGTCTGAATTGCAATTTCGCCGTTTTTACATTAAATATCAGGGTGACACCAAGAGTATACCCACCACGACTTATGAACAGTAGTATGGATGATCAGTGCCGAACACCCTGAAAGCAAAGAAATTGTGTGAGTGGAATCAAACTGTAACACTGCCGCCAGTTTCAGGTTCCCGAATGTACGGTTATTCAGTTCGGATTTGATTGTGCACTGCATTGATTCGTCTAATGATGCAAGGTCACATACCTACTTCCATAAATATGAGAGTGTACCTGTCACTCATAGAATATTCCCAAACTGTGCCTCTGCAGTAGTATGCATCCTACATTAATCTAATAACCAGATTACAACGGGCCGTGTTTTATCGCTTGCAACCTATCTCATTTGAGAAAAAATAACTACCAATGCAGAGGCATAATGAAAAAATAGAACGTTACACAGGCAAAGTTTACCGCCATGATAGCGCAGATACCAGTGCTTATCTCAGTAGGAGGATTAGCGAAATGCAGTCTTCCCTCCTTTCCTGGGATTACGATTTATTTCTTACAATGCTATGCTGGTCAAGCTGCCCAATCGTTGACGTAGCTGCTGAAGACGTTAAGTTTATAGTTAAAAATATCTGGTGATTAGTTACAAAGTTTATTAACTCATATTTCCTGCACCTGCTTGCATTCCTCAGGACACAATGATTGCATCAAAGGAGGAGGACACCACAATGTACACGTCTGTCGCCGTCGCAGTGTACGATCAGACGAACAAAGCAGTAAGTTACACAATTTCCTTTCGGAAGTTTCATCTCTAAGTAGGAGCACCAATCAGGTCATGGACACTATTTCTAGAGGTTTCTGATGACGTGTCTTGTTGACCGGAGAACCGATTTCGTAAAGAATTTATGGCCAGCTTTATTTGTGGCGCGACGAACTGCCAGTTGTCCAGTGGCTGAAAATGTGTACTTCGAGTGGACTCAGGCCATGCGACTGGAGGCACATCTAGCATGACGCCAGGAGGCGAACATAAGCAGTCCAAATCATCCTCTGACCTCCTTGCTTTTGTAGCCAATAGGTGACGAGTATCATTGTGCATTCCGAAGAAGGTATCTTTTCGCCTCATCTCCAAGTACCCAAGCAAATCGCAAACCTGGGTCTCCAGACCTATACCATGACTTCTGGTGAGGAAGGCGTTGGATTAAATACTAGCTAGGATGGATCGAATGACTCAAAACAAAATTAAATTTTAGTTTGGTGCAGCGAGATTTTACGCATTCACTAGAAAACCGTATGTTACCAGCTGCGACTGCTCCATCGTTTCGCCTGTTGGTGAATGGTATGGTGGACATCTGACTGGTTCCCGTTACTCTACAAGTGGTGTAGTGTCCCTCATTCATCGTCTTATTACACAATCCGGTGATAGGTCGTGTGTAAAACTGTATGACACGTTCACGTTGTGAGCATCAACAAACCTTGCTTGCCAGTCAACTCAAAAACGGAAGAGCAGGCAGCGTTAGGTGAATTGATACTCTCGAAAGTGTGGCCCTTTCGAGTATGCAGATAGATCTGACTATGGAGTTTCCACAGACGCCCGCACATTGTGGATTAATGGAACAATAGTTTTTAAGGTAAACTCGTGAATACTCAACAAGGCCCGTAGCATGATTAGAGCAAAAGTTGCAATATGAAAACGCATTGTGATAAAATGGGGCCCATGTTGTGCGAATCATCAATACTTTCCCATTAGCGCAGAGGTAATTACTGCCCGGATTTTAAGAAAATTGGGATGAATACACCGTTCGCTTTGCACTAATGTAGTCACCCAATGATCACTAGCTACATAACGTATCATGAACATGTTAGTGGGCCGTAAAGTCATCTTTTATACAATGACGGTTTGGTGGGTTTTGGAAACGTGCACTGGCAGAAAGGTCCTTGACTACGATCCTGGGAGGGAGAAAGCACTGGCGACATTCTAATCGTGTGTACGACGTGGCTAAGTTAAACTAATCTACCCTCAGGTAAATGTTTCAGTTGTTTCAGAGTGTGGTGACAGTAGTGGTGGGGTTTATTTGGATCTGATGCACTATTGTAAGGTCGACTCGTAGAGGCGCATAATCCCTAGTATACAGTTTTAAAGTTCCAACCAAAGTTTGTAGTGATGGTGAGATAAGTTATTAACATTCTGCTTCGTCTGCATGGTGCAGTTTCAAGCACGGTGCAATCGCGCTTCTATCATGGCAAAAATTGGTTACAACACTGTCCAAGCCATTCCAATGTATGGACTGCATAACTATAGGCTGCTGTTACACAAGCATACCACTTGGGTTGTAACCAAGTTGCCGGTACTTGTGCGACTGCATGTCATGCAAAGAAAGGAAGATGGGAGAAAAGTGGTTTGTCCCGTCTCCCGATGCTGTGGACTAATGTTATAACGTTATCCAACGCTGCTTTACCAGCTCTGCAGAAGTAACCTCATTCGTGCCAGGTACCTCCGGATGTTCAGAATGGTAATACTATGCTTACGTCATGGCTAACACACATGGATGGCATGATTACTGCAGCGAAACCCTCCGTCTCTTCTCATTTCCGGGAATACGTAGCAAGTTCAAGTTACTCTGGGCAACCATAAATCCAACATGATCCTTCTTTCATTGGGATGTGGAGGCAAGAAAGTGCCCAGGGAGATGGAGACTTGGCTATCTGACATAGCTGATAACCACCTTACAGGCGATGAGGATGGCTGCGTAAACGTGGGCCACATTGTCACACGCAACCCATTGTGATGCCCCACATACACATACGGCGAATAGATGTGCTACCATGGAACTCCGTAGGGGAAATGCACACAAATCGAATAAACTCACACTAGTCCCGTAGCCGTATTGTTTTACATCATACAGGTGCAACTTTTTGTCCATGCTTGTTAGTGCCGCTATCCTGCACATATAATCTTACTGGATCATACACAAGTAAAACAAAACTTTCATTTTTAATTACGAGAAGGATTCCTGTGTCGGTATGACCAGGTAAGTGCATATTTTTATAGGTGGGTCAGGAAAATTAAGAAAATCAGATCAGATACTGACGTTTAGAAGGACGGATGACAAAATGATTGGTTGACCGAATAGAAATGACTTTGGCTGACCTTTGACTGCTCGCTCACATATAAGACAGCTAAATCACAACAGTGAGTATGATAGTGAAACCTGTACTAGGTTATGTGAAACCTAGACCCTGCTCGTGGTCTTGACCTTTTATTATAGCAAAAGCAAACAGTCTGATCCCGTCTGTACAGTTAAGAATTTGTTGCGAAATTCGTGTTCAAGAATGGAGGCACGTAGACCGGATGTAGCTTGTTCCAAACTCTGTCGTATCTGTTAAAGAAAAAGTAGACAGATCTGCTTATCCTGGACTTCCATTCTGTCATTGAGTCTGTGCGAGGCACAGACCAATTGAATGGTCTGATCAACTTGTACAACGTGATCGCATACTATAGTTAATTTTACGTGTTTAGTCCAAAGGTACCTAGATTGGTTTTTTGAAGTGATTAGCAGTTTGAAAGTCTTAGAGAGCTTAAGAAACTGGGAACAATAACAAATGTAAATTTAACTGAAAATTCAAGTAAAGTAATCCGGCCATCCATGGAACTGTCCACAGAGAACTTGTTTCCATGCAGGGTATTCCCTCGATGGGTTTCACCTACACTTCCATACTCCAACTGGCTCTGTGTCAGTGCGGCGAATTAGTAATTAGGTCATCACATGTGTAAGAACATTTTTCCTCCAGTAGGGCTGTTTTATGCATATATTATGGGTCATGAAGCCTCGACTCGTTCCGTTATGCGAATCAATCAAGTACGGCACTTTTTCTAACAAGCCAGCGAGCCAGTAGCAGCATGATTTGCATGAGCATAACATTTTTAGATTTGAAGCTGTAATCCTTCACCTCAAGAGATCAGCCAAATCACGGCCAAAAATGAAACAAGGAAGAAGATAATGTGTAAGGAATTAAAAACAGAATAATGAATACAATCGTTTGCCGATAGGCCAATCACAATTTGATGGCAAATCTTGACAAGTGACGGCGATGGTACAGAGACTTCAGCTTGAAAGACGTAGTGCATCTTCGAATCAGTGCATCCAAGGAAAAAGCAGAATTGGTTAGACGGAGTGATAGGAGAAAGAACGTTTATAGGTACACACTTAAGAATTCAACTCTATGTAGGTAACACTATAATATTGAGACAATTAGGAGATATGGCGACTATCAAGTTTATCCAGGACCTCTCTTATACAAATCTAGTCAATTGCCTAAGTGTTGACCACATAGTTGAAACAGTCAGGTGAATTTTAATTATGCGGAATTCTAAGGCTCTGTGGAAGTTTGTTCCGCAATAAAGCAAATCAGAAAAAATGTTAGCGAAAAAGCTCGTTTTCAGTGGTTTCTCATCAGGCTCATACACCACTAATGAATGACATAAACGTAAACATCAGGGTACAGGTTCAAAAACTTGATGGTCTGAGTGACCAAGCTAGGCGATTGGCCCCACGGCGATCAACAGTTTGTTTGTGTGTGTGTGGCGTTGTCCACACTATTTGTCCGTGTTACAGGGGATCAGGGTAGAGTTAGTGCCTGAACAAATTTCTTGTATGCACGTAGGTCAGGGTCATGAAGCCTGATGGCTATCGCCTCGGCCGCTGCCAGTAGACGACATCTAACCGCTCTTGTCTGTCATCTGGGTACACGGCAGATGGGCTGGAATGCCTCATGCGCTCTGACTTGATGGCTCGAGTCGATCAGGTGTGTAGACACTGCGCTTGCCACTGATCTAGTCACGCCGCTATACAGCCAAGCTGGACAGTGTTCCCTGGCTCTCTCGGACAGTCTCCTGGTAGTTCTTCCGATATATCTTGATCGACACGAGCAAGAGAAAGAGTATACACAGAATGAAGTACTTGACCTTGGAATTCTGTCCTTAAGTTGTTGATTCAGCGTCGGCACTGAGTAGAAGCTTAGCCGTAGGCTTGATGTATAGTACGTTTGGACGATTGCGGCAGAAATCCTTCTAGACGTTGATTCAGCTATCCCGTCCCCCTTGAACGGTAACGATAAGTAGATCGGTTTTTTTCCCACTGAATCCACTTTTGCCTTCGCTTCTCGTACCTCCATGTTTCTCCGAACGAACCTCTCAGGATAGCCATTTCTTTCGAATAGGCTTCGTTCACAGTCTAACTCGCTTGAAAGCATGTCCTCACTACTTATCCTTCTTGCTCGCTCGGTTAGGCATGGAACAAGTTTCCGTTTCTGGCTGTGCGGGACGAAGCTGGCAAATTGCTTATATTTTTGTGTATTTGCCTGATGAGGAACCACTGAATACGAGCTTGTTTGCTAACATTTTTCTGCTGTCTACTCCCGGGATATTTTATCAATTAACGCATATTTTACGGAGAAAATGTTTCAGCGGAGCTTAGTGCGAGACTTTTGTATTTGCAATATGTGCTCGCTGTTTCTTAGTTCATAGCGCATATGAGTCTGAAACTCGACTAGTGCCTGAGCAGTGAAACTTAATCCGAATATTATGCGGTATAGAATGCATAGATTATGTTTGAATCTGCGCAGCCATTGCGGCTCCACTTCTAGAGCCTCGCAACGCTTATGGTATGTCATAGTCTTAGGGATGTTCGAGAATGTCTTTGTGAATTGTCGTTGAATGTTTTCCAGTGCTATGATGTCCACTTTTCTCAGAGTACCGTCACTATCATACGGGACACAA